TTTTTAAAAGGTCGTTTGGAAAAACAGGCAAAATGCAGGAATGATGCCCTTAAATCTGAGAACTGGAAAAGTGCTGTATGGTGAGAGCATTTAAAAACACTCGCTGCCTTGCCAGGAGAGTACGATTTTCAAGCCACCAAGTGCCTGAAGGACTGTGGAAATAAGTTGACTGAGGTCTCCAAGCGTAGCTGATAGATTGGACAGTATGCGTGCCAGTGGCGTAAATAGGTAAATGGAACCCCAATGTTGCCTTTTGAATAGGAGTTGATGCTGGGTGTAGAAGTGTGGAAGCAGAGATACAATTCGTATGCTTTCATTTGGCATCTTCGTCGTCGCTGGCTTTACTTAGGTCTTACCCGAGTTTTCTAGCTGTGTATCTTGGATGTTAGGCCTGTCTCCTTTCTCCTGCCTCTTACGAAATATTAGCAAGGAAATGTTTAACTTCAGCTTTAAAAAAAAATGGGGGAATAGGAGGGTTAAATTGGCATTTATCATGAACCGTGCATCCATTATTATGCTACGCTTGCATTAGTTACTTCATTAACTCTGCCTTGCAAAGGCAGTACATTTCTTTCCTTGCTAAATGAACTGCTGACTCTGACAGCCTAAACTTACTCTTGTCGTCTAGTTTAACTTCAGACCTTCCCGATTTTGATTTTTTTTTTATTTTTAAACTTGTGGTCTAACTTGTATTTGTAGCCTAACAGAAGGAACAAGGGCTCAATTAACTCCTAAGACTAATCTCAGTAGATACTAGGAATTTGACTTCTCAAAGCCGTGTAAGAGCTTACATAGTTTTCACAACTGTGCTACTGATTAATTAAGCACTCGATTGAAAAATGCTGTTAATCCACGCTAGGGAAATTTTACTATGAGCTGGTATTTCGGATGGTATTTTATCTCATAACAGCATCTGATGAATGAGGCGGCACATTCCGCGAAAAGTGGAAAAAAATATGGCACGGCGCGCCCCAGAGTTGTAGTCTAGTTGCTATAAGCATCATTTTGTTTATGACTCATCGTGATGACTTTCTTATAGGAGCAGAATTAGAATTGTACATCCACCTTTTACTGCCATTTCATGATTTTTAAGGGTGTTTGTGTCTAACGTGAACGTTCTCCGAATGCCTCACTTTATTTCCCTGCAGATTCTCTATAAAAAGAAATGATTATAAACCTTGAAAGGGGTTACTTTTGATCTCTGGCATATGGCTGGGTACTAAATTAACGACTTCTGTGAAGAGATGCACCTCTGTGTTATGAAGAGTATGTTCTCCTAGGCTGTCTAAATTTGCAGAGCCGTACCGAGCAGCTGCGGGGATGTTGTGTCACGCCGTCAGTGGGATTGCTGCAGTCATTTCTGTTGCTTGCTCTCGGGAAGAATACAATGGAAGAAGTGGTAGTTTAGAAGTTTAGACGGTGAAAAGATTAAAAATGAATACTAAACAGAAGGGGGGGGGGGGATCAATTCTTTCATACAGCGTTTTGTTCATGCTTAGCAAGGAGCGCTCCCAACTTTTCCTCTCCCTAGCCAGGAGAATTTCCCTGAAGTAGACTACTGAAATGCTGCCAGCGTCAGATGTGATGTTCTCATTATCCATATAGATTTAACATTTTTTTTTAATCCATATTTGCCCACTAGAGGGCTGATTGCATCTTCCCCTTTAATATTTGATGTTGTCTGAGGCAGAATGCGAAGCCCTTAATTAAATGGATCATTTGTTCCCTTGAAAATGCCTGATACCACACAATACAAAAGTCTCTGAAATGCAGCTTTCTGCTATATTCCAGGGCTTTTTCTAACTCACAAGGCTCATGAATTTGTTAATGCTACATAACATTCTTGCCCTCTCAGGGCTGATGCTAATTAGATGATTGGAAAATGAGTCCTTGCAAGACTTTCTTTTTAAATGTTGTTTGAAGAACAATACTGGAATGTCTGTCGCTGCTAAATTCAGGCAAGAGGGGGTTGTTTTTGGGGAGAGGGGGGTGTTTTTGCTAACAGTCAGATTTATCTTCCATTTTTACGCAAGTGCTGGAGAGGTTTTGAAATACCTTCTGTGTAATTTTATTTTGCAAATGGAAAAGGCCGTTCAGTCTGTTTCTCTTCATTAAAGTTTATTCTAGGGAATTTCTGACCTGAAGGCAGATTCCTGACAAAGCAAATAAGTAAAGGGAAGGATGCACAGAAGTTATGGCAAATAAAGTAGATGGCTTTATGGCACTGCAGATTAAATGCCTGGGACTACTTAGACTTGATGACATAGTAGAGTTCATGAATTTTTCAGAACAGAATAGACTGTTTAAAATACATAGTCATGGGTACAACCCAGAAGAGGTTAGTGCCCAGCATTGTATCTAAACCAGAGCAAAACTCCGAGAAAGGTATTTCTCTCAAAAAGGGAGCTGGATTCTCAAAATACTGATTGTAGAGGCCAAGTGATTGAGGCCATACCATAGCCTCCGAGCGTTGTTCCAAAGAGGCATTATTCTCATGGTTGGAAAGATCCTGTTTCCTCTTGGATTTTTTAACTTCTACTGTCAGTTATTGTTTCCCATTATACCTTCCTTTGCTCATAAAGCAAGCCCCTAGTGACTGATATTTTTCTCCCTACATAGCTTGGTCAATACCCATATCAATCTATCTTTTAAGCTTTTCTCCAAACCTAGATAGGCTGGACTCGGCGAATCTTTACTGCGAAGCCGATTTTCCACGTGCCATCATTCTATAAGTTCGCTGAACTTGTCCGAGTTTTTCAATAAGCGTTCGCTCCACAGACTTCAGCATTAGACGCGCTGTTACAAGAACAGTCGCGCCGTTCCTCGTTACAAAAAGGACCCCTTCGTTTTGGTTAGCCGTGTTAGCGCAGCATCGCACGGGGAGCTTGTTCTCAAGGGAATGGTTCCTTAATCAGAGGACTGGTATTGCGGAACAGGGTTTAACGGAGAGTAATGGAAGTCAGCGTCTGCTTGGTAGAACTCACGGCATGGGATTATGCCATAACTGCTTGCATTAGCAGGGAACCTGGCGACTGAGAGGCATTTTTCAGTTCAGTATTCACCTCTTTCTAGCATTGCTGCTTTCAAGGATACAATCCTTATCCTGTAAGTATGACTTGAGAACTGCAAAATGCATACGCTGTATTCAAGTCTAGCTTTAAACGTTTTCGGAAAGTCTGCAACAAGCTGCGTAAATGGTTGGAGGTAGCTGGGTTTATAAACCAAGAGCTACCTTTTAAAAAAGATGATTCTGATGTTCCTTTTTACTCCTTGTATCTCTAATAGATCTAGGGATAAACAGCCAAATTGCTTCTGCGTGTTGATTCCAGAAGGGACTGGTGTGTGTGTGTGTGCGCGAGGGGGGATTTATGTAAGGATGTATTTAGCTCGCGTGTTCGGTTAGGGTTTGCAATTAAAGCGGATGAAGAGAAAGCTGACAGTAGGAAACGTGGGAACAACTGTTAGAGATGGTAATGAATGTAAAAGAGCGATGGAGAGGAAAAAAAATGTTACGGCAGGTGTGTGGCAGAGCGGGCAGGCGCGGGTAGGGAGGCACGGCTTCCAGTTCAAGGGCTTAAAATCAAGCCGTGGCTTGGAAGGGCCTGTGGAAGCGAAGGTGGGTGCAGGATAAATATTGCCTACATGACATACGCTAACCAGACCGCACACTTCATAAAGCTTCAGGCTCCAACGTCAGTAGTCACAGTAGTAGATGTAATGAAGTATCCTCCTGGGACGAGCTGGATATGGGGAAGAGCAGGATCACCTCTCTGTGGCTCGTAATACCTGCAGAGACTTTTGTCACTGAGCAGTTTTGTAAACACTTGTAAAACTTGAGGAAATTCCCAGACAAAAACGTAAGTCAACCTGCTGTGAAGGTTGAATTCGTGTTAGCCAGACTTCTTCTGGGTGGCCTTTTTTCTCACAAATGTGACCCTGGAAGTTCCAAGTGCAGGTTCAATTTTGTCTCGTTCAATTAAAAAGTCTGCAAATGGAAAAATTAAGTTCAGAGAAACCTTAACTCTGCCCCTTGGTGGGCACACATTTGGGGGGGGGGGGGGGGGGGAAAGTCCATAACTTGGATGCAGCTTCTCTCTCTGTGTCAAATTATCAACCACAAAAGCTTTTACCATCTTGAATTGTGTAACAGTGCAAGCTTGTCTTAACAGCCTGGTGTCGTGACGGAGGAACAGTTTTTAACAGCAGCATCCATAGCAGATAGATGCCAACTGCTTCTTCCTCTTCACAGAGTCTGTGTGTTACCAAATACGTTTCTGATCATTATGGGAACAGATGGGGCCAAACTCCTAGACAAAACATTTTGCATCACATCAGTAAGGTAGAAATGATGAAAACCCATTAGACCAGTGAAATCCCACATTTGATATCCAGACTATCTTTGTGAGACTCACTAGGAGAGCAGCGCTGCTGTTATTCTCAGCGTTTTGCATTCTAAATGCTCGAGTGTCTTCTCCAAAAATGGGAGCAGAGTTAAGTGGGTTTGGTCATAACTGCTTTTGCAGACTTTGCAGTACATGGAATTAACTTTTATTATGAAGATGAACCTTAACCTGGGATTTCCAAGTTTTCCAACCTTTTTTTTGACTGAAATAAATCATAGATGAACAAAGTGGTTTTTTTGTCTGGGAATTATTATCCCTGTCCCCTTCAGATTGCCGTTGGAAAATTTCCAAAGTGCTGCCCTGTCTCCCTTGTCAGCCTAATAAATTAACCTCTTGGATTCTTCCAAGACCTTTACTTGTCTGGCTGCAAGGTCTCGGTTGGTCTCTTCTGCCAGTTCCTAGCTTAAGTTTGTCCCCCTGGGACTGGAGTACTCGCAGCCGAGCACAGTGTCCTGGGTGAGACCTCCCCAGAGCCACGTAGCGAGAAAACCTCCCTTCTTCACTCGGTGTTGAAGACCCCGACCAGTTAGAGTTGGTAGATATTGGGGCTTGTCCCCCCCCGTGTGACACTGTCTCTTCCCCTCGCCCCGGTCCCAGGTGCCGGATGTGTTCGCTGACCTTCTACTCCAAGTCGGAGATGCAGATCCACTCCAAGTCCCACACGGAGACAAAGCCACACAAGTGTCCTCACTGCTCCAAGAGCTTCGCCAACAGCTCCTACCTGGCCCAGCACATTCGCATCCACTCAGGGGCCAAGCCCTACACGTGCAGCTACTGCCAGAAGGCCTTCCGCCAGCTCTCCCACCTGCAGCAGCACACACGGTAAGGGCCAGAGGAGGCTGGGGGCCCTCCGCATTGCATGTTGCCGTCATCCCAGCATGCTGTGAGCACCCTCAGCGGGCGACTGCCTGGGGAGACCTTGCTGTTTTCCGCAGGCCGGTCAGGTCTCGTACACGACAAACCGGCAGTAGTGGTATCCGACACGTGAGACTTGTCACTTGCTGTGAGGGGCTGGGTGTGCGCAGAGGTTAGCGCTGCTCGCTCTAAAGGGCGTCTGCAATGGAGTGACGCTTTCTGACAGAAGGTAGGGCTGGTTGTGTCAGAGTGAGAGCAGAGTGGGTGTAGGAGGACTGTTCCCTGTCAGCCCAGCGCAGTTGTGCCAAACGTCTCAGTCCAGGCTTGCAGCCCCCCTGCTATTTCAGCCGTAGGCTTCCCACACACAGCTCTGCCAATGCCCCTCAGTCCAAACTCTATAGTTCCTCTCTCTGGATCCTCCCCCGGTGCGGACAGACCATGGTCTCTTGAATCCAAGGGGAGCACGGTTTGAGACCGAGCGAGCTCATGCCGTGTTTGGAGTTCCTCCGTGTAGCAGATAGCGTGGTGCTGTCCCACCCCCTTTGTGCCCTCATTCCATCAGCACTAGCCAGATGGCGGTCGTGTCCAACTGCTGCTGCTCCTCCTCCTCTTCGGCAGGATCCACTCCAAGCTCCACACGGCGATTGTCAAGCCGCACAAGTGTCCTCACTGCTCCAAGAGCTTCGCCAACACATCCTACCTGGCCCAGCACCTCCGCATCCACTCGGGGGCCAAGCCCTACACCTGCCGCTACTGCCAGAAGGCCTTCCGCCAGCTCTCCCACCTGCAGCAGCACACACGGTAAGGGCCAGAGGAGGCTGGGGGCCTGGCCCTGGCCCCCCCGCGCTGCCGGCATGCACCTCCGTGGAGCACGCGCGCCAAGCATGCGGGGGGCGGGCGGGGAATGCGGCCGGCTGCACCCTCGGAAGGAGGTGACCCACCAGAGTGGACGGAGTGGAGGCTGCGCAGGAGACACTGACCGCGTCAGGGCTGAGGTGGGCACGTGCTGTCCCTGGGGACCCTTGGTCTTGCACCGCGGGGGGCACAGAGAGAGAGAGCGATAGAGAGAGAGGCATTGGCCGTAGGGGATTCCAGCCTGGCACCACGGGGGTTGGACTGAGTGTGTGGAAGCTTCTCCTGGCATTGCAGGGGGACAGGGACAGGTGAACGCTGTAGGTGATCTCAGCCTGATCGTGCAAAGGGAAGAGTGTTGGAGTGTCTGTCCTGAGAAGGAACAGAGCTGCTTTCTTGGCACTGCAGAAGCAAGAGAACAGACTCCTCTCGGTCATATGGGACTCCTGAGCTTGGAGCAGGGAGCCTGGACCTCCAGACCCCTTCCCAACCCATTTTCAGGAGGCCCACGTGCCGAGCTGGCCAGGCATTCAATAAGCTCTTGCTCCTCAGCCCTAGTCACTCTCTGAAATCTGCTTGACTGCCTATCTTCTCTAACTTCTAGCTGGACACAGGAGCTGGGCAGAGCTCTCATTGTCCAGATAGAACAGCATCTGGAGGCAACATCATCCCCTTCCCTGGTCTCCTGAGGGGCTGTGAGATTTGATCGCAGCACCAGGCCCCGGCAGTCTGCCCTGCCTGCCTGCTCACTACCTCCCGTTTGTGCTCTTCCTCCTCAACAGCATCCACACCGGGGACCGACCCTACAAATGCGCTCACCCTGGGTGTGAAAAGGCTTTCACCCAGCTTTCCAACCTGCAGGTAAGGGGCCGGGCTCGTCCTGCTCACCAGTGGGGGTGGCAAGGGCGGCCGTCAAGTGGGAGGGGAGGCTGCTTGCCTGTGGTGGAGGAGATGGAGAAGTTGGGGCAGCCGGGAGGAGAGCGAAAGAACACAGAAAAGCTGTGGAAGCCCTGGGCCGGGAAGAGATTCCTGGCTTTTGTGGCACCAGCGACCCAAAGAAGTCACGTAAACAGTCATGTCCTGTAAGATGGTAAACTTGACTTGAAAGCGGTGAGACCTTGGTAAAGTTCCTCCCATCTGTTCTGCAGAGTTTTCTAACTCAGCTGGGGCGAGACTTTTGCTAAATGTCACAGAGAATAAAATCTGGGTATCTGATTGGGGGGTTTTTTTTGTTTGTTTTACAATGAAATGGAGAGCGTAAGAGTAGGGATTTCGGGAAGCAGAGGTCGCGTGTCCTAGTGCGGTATCCTGGAGGCGGGGAACTGTCGGGCGTGCCAAATGGCAGAGAGCTGCCAATGCCTGCGAGCAGCTAAAGCGGATCCTGCCCTGAAGGGCAGTGCCAGATGCGGGGAGCAAACCCGCAGTGAGGCAGAAGAGGAGAGAAAGGGAAAAGACTGAGGAAGAGTTGCGTGGAGGCTGAGGAGATGGGGGTTGTGGAGAGTTAGGAGCCTTCAAACGCCTAGTATGCCTGAGAAAAAAGGGCGTTTGTGGGGAAGATGTGGTGGGCTGGAGGGAGAAGCTCTGTCCCCCTGCGCGAGGAGCCAGGCGGGGGCCTAGGGGACTTGGGGCCTGGCTGGAAGGGGGTGTCAGAGGTAAAAGCCTTCTCCGGCACTAACGCTCGCTTCCTTCCCTGCGCTTGCTTTCTCTTTCCTCCACCCTGCTGCCGCCCCCCAGTCCCACAGACGGCAGCACAACAAAGACAAACCTTTCAAGTGCCACAACTGCCACCGTGCGTACACGGATGCCGCCTCGTTGGAGGTACACCTGGCTACGCACACGGTGAAACACGCCAAGGTCTACACCTGCTCCATCTGCAGCCGGGCCTACACCTCGGTGAGTGTTTGCTGCCCCTGGGCGGTGGTAGCAGAAGCGGACACACTTCCCAGGGAGCGGCTCCTCCGGGAGCAGCCCCCCGCGCTGTCGTGTCCCCTTCCCGTTGGCTTTCTCGAACGTCGTCCCCCTCCTCTCACGCCGTTCTTCCCCTCGCAGGAGACGTACCTGATGAAGCACATGCGGAAACACAACATCCCTGACCCGCAGCAGCAGGTGGTTCAGGCACAAGCCCAGGCCTCGCAGCAGCAGCAGCACTTCCAGCCGCAGGGTGGAGGGGCAGCAGGGGGCCCTTCTGGAGACACTAACCAACCCAACCCTCCCCCCCAGTGCTCCTTTGACCTGACTCCTTACAAGACTTCAGAGCATCACAAGGACATCTGCCTCACTGTCAGCACCAGCGCCATCCAAGTGGAGCACCTCTCCAGCTCCTAGAGAGACCTCAACCCAGGGAGCAGAAAGCCTCTTGTGCATAGCCTGCGCCCAGGGGCACCGCTTGTGCAGCGGCCCTCGTGCAACAGTCTCCGGCCTCTCCTCCTGCAACAGCCTCTTCTGGCCGTGTAACCCTGTTCACGGCAGCCCCTTGAACAACAGCCTGTCTCAAGGGGGTGCTCCTTCTGTGCAACAGCCTGCCTGGTAGGAGGATGCTTCCTTGTGCAAGAGCCCCTTTCCTGTGCTGGGATCACTTCCTCGTGCAAGAGCCCCTCCTTTCAAACCCAAAGAAAGGCCCCCGTTTTGCCTTCTCTCTCACTGTAGGATGCGTGTGAAGGGGGGGTGCGTGTTGAGACATGCGTGGTGGATGGGATGGAGAGACGGTCCTTGTACGCGCAGGGGCTCGGACACACGTTTTCAGCAGGCCACAGAAGAATGTGGCAGGGTTCACAGCTGGATGGGGTTCTTTGAGGATTTCCTTGAGTGTCTAAGAGAGAAATATCCATTCCTGTCCCTCCTGCTTGTGAAAGGGAGGAGGGGTCGCTCGTCCTGCCCCGAGGACTGGATGGGAGAAACCTTCTCCCCAGTGGAAGGTGAGACCAGTGCGGGGGGAGAGGTGAGGCATGTTCACTGGGCCGGACAGGTGCCTACGCTGCCCGAGGGCTGTGGAGCGTTGCGCTCTTTCTCCTCCCCTGGTGGAGAGCAATAGAGAGGAGTCTGTCTGAACCGGCTGCCGCCTCTTTCTCCCAGCTGTCTGAGCAGCGCGATGGCCGAGGCCCCGTAGGAATGTGGGTTCCTGCTCATTGCTCTTCCTGCCCGTTGTGGATGATGTCCTAGCAGCTTGTACTCCTCCTCCTCTCCCTCCTGCTTCCCCCCCACCTCCTCAGAAAAGCCTGCAGGCATCAACAACAAACCAAAAAGCAACTGGAGGGAGGGTAAGAGACTGCCAAAATAATCATCACCCTTCTCTCTACTCCCTTTCCCGAAAGGCGGAATGACAGCAGTTCTGACTCTCACGCGCCTGTCCTGCCCCAGTTTCCCAAAGGGAAGGAGGAGGAGGAATAGACCAGTCTTTTCAAGGAGCCGGCAGGAGGCAGGGAAAGGCTAGCTTCTCCTGCTCGCCTCCCGCCAGAGCGCTCTCCCGGGCTCCCTCTTGCCAAGACGGGCTGGACTCACATGGCAGTGGTGGCCTCTTCTGGACCCTGGTCATGGGAGAGAATCCCCAAAAGGTGGACAGTGGAGAGAAGGGGATGGAGATCCCCACAGAGAGACCAATCTAATGAGAAGGGGGAGCCAACAAGAATAAACTGAAGGCCCCTTGAACCATTATATATATATATATATATATATATATATATATATAGAAAGAAAGGGTGATGAGTAAGTTCAGAGACTATTTCTGACTAGACATTGGACTGTACTTTCTGCACTGTTAACATTTTTTTTTTTAAAAAGCTAGTACAGCTGCAGTCTGAACATGCACTGCCAAGCAGCCAAAATATTCACAAGCACCAGGAATCAATAAGCAATTTTGTAGTTTAAGATGAGAGAAACCGCTTGGGAACAGTCACTAATTCCTAGAAGTCACTGGTGATCTCTGATGACAAGCCAAAACCCGACCTAGACAATACCGAAGTCCTGTAAATTGGTGTAAAAGGCTCCTTGAAGGTGGTGCTGCGAGCGCCCTGCCCCTGTGACGTGTGTTCCTTCCCCCAGACCACTGCACCAGCACCTTGCCGCCGGGAGTCCCGAGCGGCTGTGCGGGCGGGCGCGAGGGTAGCGCATCCCTGCCTTTGGGCAGCCTTGCGGTTCGCGCGAGGAAAGCGAGGAGCTCTGCGCCCGTGGAGCCCGTGGCAGAAACCTTTATCTCTGCGTTTAGTCACCAGGGTTGGCCGCGAGTGTTTTGTGGATCCATAGGTTAGGCTAGAAGAAGCTGTCTGACTTGACTCCTGCATTTCACAGGTGACATTTCAACCCATTTATCCTGTATCGAGCCCCAAGAACTAATGTGTATTTGAAGTATGCGTTGACAAAGTGCATTGGCTTGATTTTGAGGCACTGGGACACAGAATCCCTTCCATTGGCGGCCTGCTGCAAGGGCTTCGTGTTCTCACTGTTTAAATATTTCAGCCCGATTTTCTCCTTTGGATCTGTTTGGCTTTGGCTTCTGGTTACTAGTTCTGGATACGTCCATCCCGCTGATTGAGAGAGCCTTAGAGCACAGTGGGGCTTTTTCCCCTGGACTGGTATTTAAAGGCTGTAATATCCCTTCTCAATCCACTTTTTGACAAGCTAAATAGATGGAACTCCTTAAATCGTCCACTGTAAGGGATTTCCTCCAGCCCATGAATTTTTCTTGTCTTTTCTTTCTACATCTTGTCAAATTTTTCACTATCTAGTAAAAACGTTCCTTTCAGAATTGAGTGTTGAAGCCCCGGTGCCGTGGACAAGGTCCCCCTGCCCTTTGCCTTAAGTCTGCAGAGGATTGCGTTTGCCCTTTTCTCGCAGCGTTCTACGGGAGCTCACATGAGCTGCTTGTCTGGTGTGACCCGTCGATCATCTGAAGCCTCGGCTTTCCCTGATAGCGTTTCCCCCTTCCTGCAGGTATGGTCCGAGTTCCGATTTCCCGGCTGCATAACGCGCGGCTGTATCGAAGGCCAGTTTGTGCGACTGGACCTGGCTTGCTGACGGTCCGGGTCGCTCGACGCTTTCCCGGTTTTGTCACCCACAAACTGTATCAGTTGTTATTTTTTTTACTTTTGGATCCAGGTTGAAAATGCTATATTGCATCTGACCTACACTAACTTGAAAAGCATCGTTCAGTGCGACTTTTTATTAGCTGCTTTTTGAGACTTGCAGGCTAGGCATTTCTTAATCTTCTTGGTATGTGATTATGTACAGTAAATCTTTTTGACTTATGGTGCTAGGTCAATGCCTTACGAAAATTGAAGTATGTTGCACCTATGCAGTCCCCTTTGTTAAACCAAATGTATAATGATGTCATCTAAGAGTGAAATTAAGGTTTGGGTTTTTTTCTTTTTTTTCTACAAGATCTATATTTCATAGAACCTTTGGATTATAGGTTTTCTTTTTCATTCATTCATTCATTCATTCATTCATTCTTCATCTCAACAGCTTTTCCGTAATTTTGACACCGAGTCATTTCGTTTGCCTTTTGGGAATACTGGCACGAATGTCTTAAGGTATTTCTCTAATATCCCAAGTTTAATTAAAATTGGAATCGATGGGCTAGAGAGCTTGTTAGGGAACTCTTTTAGGACTCCTGTTTCTTTGCTGACTTAAAAATATACATCCCTACTAGATGTTGTCTGATTTCCTACTCTGATACCGAGGTACTGGAGAGAAGTTGCTATTTTCGTACGACGGCCACATCCTTTCTCTTTCTGAACATGGAATTGGAAGTATTTGTTGACCGATTTCCCCTGTTCCATGTCACTAGACTTTTCACCATTTTTATCTAGCATGGATCAGTACTATTAGTAAGATTTCTTCTTTATTTTTCATTTAAAGAAAGGAATGAAAGATCCAACATCCTTTTCCTATTACCAGTAGCTTTGCTAGCCACAAAGCTTTCCTTACCAGTTTTCTCTATTTTATAATGTCTAATTTATGTCGGTTGCTGTCTGGCCTTCTCCCTTTCCTTGTGTTATGTTTCAGTTTTGGTTTTTGTTTTTAAATTGTTTCTTCTTGCTCACAGACTTTGTCACTGAACCCAGGATGAGCTTTTACCAAAAGTTTTCCTCTTTCTTGATTGTGGAATTAGGGCTTTTTTGGCCACATAATAATTTTTTCTTACAGGAGAGTTTCATTCACATTTTTCTGCCTTATTTCTTTTTTCTCATGGACAACCGAGTTCCTAGTTTTGCTCGCTTTGGAAATTAGCACAGGTTCAGCACAGGTTTATTACTGCTTGTGGCTCTCATATTCCATATGAACAGGACAAAATTGCCAGTTTCATAGAATCATAGACCGGTTTGGGTTGGAAGGGACCTGTCAAGGCCACCTAGTCCAGCCCCCCTGCGATGAGCAGGGCCATCTTCAATGAGATCAGGTTGCTCAGAGACCTGCTCAAGTTAGTATCTTGTACGCATCACCCTGAAGTCTGAAAAATTGACTTGTTTTGGGTGCCGTGTCTTGTATTAAGAAAGCTACGGTTTTAAAAGTTGGAAAGATGTTTTGCCAACTGGCTGAATTCCCTGGGGAATATCTCCCAGGTTAAATGTCCTTGCAGTGGTTTTTCATTTTGTATGTTAACGGTGCTTGAAATCGCTTTTCCTGGTCCCTGGTTTGATGTGTTGTTTTCTAATGTCTGCTTTCCTTCCCCTTCGTGGAACCTGTTACCTAGCGTGGGGATCCATGTGTATTTAAGGCTGTGCAATTCCTGCGTTCTCAGTTATTTCAAGGGTATCGTTGCTTGTCTTTGTGCAGTTTGCCACTGCTCCTACAGCTTTTACTGTCACCCAGGAGGAAAACTAATGATTTTTTACTAAGGGAGTTTCCCATCAAGTTTCAGAAATGCCACTTTATTCCGGGTCTCTTTTTTTTCCTCATCAAGGAGAATTTCTTATTTCTCTGTTTACCTTGAGTCCTGTTGCTGGTGTAGAAATAAGTGAAGATATCTTATTCTCGTTATCTTTGTCACTTACTTGAGTTTGGATTAGGTCTTCCTCTTTGGATTCCTGAGGCTGCTTAACATATTCAAGGTGGTTTAAAAAACATAGTTGCTACCTGTGGGGTGCAAAATGTAACATTTATACAAAATTCTCCCCTCTTGAGATGAAGCCTCGGGTTCTACAGTCTGCAGCTTTTCAGCTTCGTGCACTCAAGTCAACAACGGTTCAATTCTTTAACTCCCACTCCCAAGAGTGGAAGATTCTCTGACAAGATCCCGTGGTCCTTCCTCTTCCGCTCCCTGAATTATTTGACCCTGCGTTTTCTGTGTGATGCCAGTCCATTTGTTTCTGTACGTCTGTACTCAAGACTTGACAATGACTCTGGAGCTCTCTGTTAGGTTGCATCTCGTATCTTTGCTGGAAGCACTTTTTCTTCTTGTCCTTTACTGAATTGGTTGTCTGTTCGTAGCTGGATTTTGCAAATTATCGTTGCTTTAAAAGGAAACACCATGTAGGCTGGAAATCATTTAGGAAAGTCACCCACAAACAGTAACTGAATCTCAGCCGTGACTAATGATAATATTGCTGGTCTGTAATTCACTTAAATCTTTCTTGAAGATTTAAGGCTTTCATAATTTAAAGCCTTACAGTTAATCAACCATGTCCCTTATTAGAGTTTTTTTGTTGGTTATCACTGCCATTAAAACTGCCATTCTGTTTTACTACTTTTTTTTTTTTAATCCATAGGTTCTTGTTATGCCTTTGTTCAGTACATTAAAGTCTTCTGCTGTAAGAAGTCTTTCTTCTTTTGTAATGAATTACAGACCACGATCGAGTCACTGTATTCATCTTTCCAAACAGCTAAATTAAATCGAGCTGGTTTAGGTGTCTCGCACTAAGGCTTGGCTCCATCCTGTAGTACTGATCTATTGCCTTTCTTTGTCCTTTGTGAACGACCGGGCTGCGTAGCGTTCAGTTACGAGTCTTGCTACGTTAGGCCTAGACGGTTATCTTGAGCCACCATAAAAGGATACGGAGTTCTTTTAATGAGATCTTTTTCTTTAAATTAAACCAAATAGCGTTATGTTTCGTTTCTTAGCTGAGCGCGACCTGTATCAATTACACTGTGATTTTGCCAAATCAGTGTTAGGTTAACTGGCTTACTGCAACCTGGATGATCCCATTTACTTTTCAAATACTTTTTAATTAAAAGTATTTCCTGGTCTTCTGGAACACATTCAGAGCTCCAAAGCTGTTTGGAAAAGAAAGCCTGTTGCTTCCATCTGCTTGCCAGATAATTCTTTTACAATTATTGATTGTGAGTTTCTAGCTATGCAACTTCTAGGAGGTTTTATTTAATGGGTAGAACTAAACATCTTCCTATTTCATTACTTCACCGACGTCTACATCATCCAACTTTCTTCCTAATATAGAATATAATTATGAGATTCTGCCTGTCTTCTATATTTTTATTGATTATTTTATCATCTTTATATCGACTAAAGGATATATATCATGTTTAGGATTTTCTTCTAATATTTTGCAGGTAATGTACCCGAAAGCTGCCCGAGTATACTAGTGCAGTTTCAGAACATAGAATGAAATTGCTCTGTACATTTCCTTACCTACGAGATAGGTACCTGTTCGATCGCCATTTCAGGTACAACAGATTAAATTTGTGTGCATGGTTTCTTGTTTCTGTATAGTAGAACACCAAAGTAC